GATCCTATGAAGTACTTGAGCAGCATGACTTTTATTCCTGGAGTATTCCATGAACTTCAATTAAAGCACTTCTCAGTGAAATACAGAATTTTTGTAATGTTTAAAAGTGGCAAAATAGAAAAGAAATTAAGAATTAGTGATTATAATAAAATTTGATTGATCATATCTTTTCAGAAGCTAATATTATATAAAACAGTAAATGCATGTAAACACCATGAAGTAGGCAAATACTTAAAGCTTTTCAAAAACATTCTGATTTAATCTGATTATCAAATTACTATTTGAATAAATGTTTCTAATGAAACATGCTATATTTATTTTGATCTCTTATTTTCCATTTTGCACTGACATATTTTTTTTCTGAGTATAGATTACAAATAATCTTTTGCATTCCCTCCCCGGCCTTTTGGAAAAGTTAAATTAAATTGATTTCTAACCGACACATAAAAACATGGAAGTTGTAATATGATTGGAGTATATTGTGTGATGTTTCAATACATTTATACATTGTGTATTTAAATCAGTTTAAACATATCTATCTCCTCAAAGATTTATGATTTCTTTATGTTAAAAACATTCAAAATCCTTTCCTAGAATTTCTTGAGATCTATAGTCATAATTGTTATGTATAGTCACCCAGGTATGCAATAAGAGCACACCAGGGCTTCTTATTCCTGTCTGGTTGTAAGGTACCGCACATTGGTCAGCCCTCCTACCCCATGGGAAGCAACTTTTAAATTGTCTTGACTTTGGGTTTCATGTGATGTGGCCAAGTTTTTCTTTCTTAGCCTCTCTGTCACTTCTCTGATTAAGCAGTGGCTCTTGCATGTTTGAATCACGGTGGAAATGTTCAGTTGTTTCACTGTCTTCACCACACTGACGTCAGCCTATCACAGTATCACTGCCAGCTCCATCTTTCTCAACAGATACAAAGGATCTTTGAGATCTTCCCTAATGGACAGTCTCAAATTAGTAGCTTTCCCCAAGTTTCTCCGCTGCTGCCCATGCCCACGGTGGAGAGAGGAACTTAGGTATTTGTGATTTTCTATCATCTGACCCCAACCAAGTGGCAAGTGGCCAACAACCCCTTAACCATCCGACTTAAAGGATGTTTTTCTTATCCTAATTGAAGTCTTCTCAAAGATGAACTCTGCTGGGGCTGAGACTCTTCTTCACTGCTGTCTGTATATTTAGCACAACTCATTTCTATGTTAAACAAATAAGCACATAAATATCTCTGGGGCCCTGGCTGCTAGTGACTTTGACCTAATATTCTTTTCTTCTTTGACTCAGTGCTAATACTCTTTCTTTTCTCCTCATTCCCCACTAATTGGTTCTTGGTTTCCATGTTTATTTCTAATACCTATTAAATTCTGATTTTCCTGAAGGGTTGTTCTCTACTCCTTTAAACACACTTTCATTTTTTAGTATCAAAAATTCCTATGGATGGTGGAAACTCTCCTATAGCCTGAATATTCACAATTTTAGCTTCTCCTTTGGGCTCTTTTTAATTAACTCTGACATCTCAAATGAATAATCTCAGGGATACCTTTCTTCCTGTCAGACTGAATGATACCAGTGTCTGTCCTTGCCTGTCCACACCATAGTCCTGGGATTAATCCTCAGTGTGGCAAAGCATGATGCTTTTACTGGCTGACTTTTATTTTTTATAGGACAGAGGTAAGGGAAAAATTGTGTGCTCTTTTGTGGATTTTAACTGTTCCTTTGTTTTAAAGAACTAAATTTTATTTGCCATCTTGACTCTTCCTTTTATGCATGATTTCTTGAAAATTGCATCTTTTCTTTCTTTTTAAAACTAGCTTTAGGATATAATTCACATTTTATATGAATTGCTCACTTAATGCCTACAATTAAATGGCTTCATTATAGTTTCAGATCAGAGTTTGTGCAACCATCACCACAATCAAATTTAAGAACATTTTTATTCCTCAGAAAGAAACCCTGTACCCCTTAGCATCCTCCCTCCCTCCCTCCTCTCCTATCCTGCAGCCTTAGGCAAGCAATCATCTACTTTCCTTCACTAGAGTGTAGCCTGTGTACAAATGAAATTGTGAAATATATGATATTTATCACTGCATCTTTGCCTCCTTCTTCCTACTTTCTAAGACCTCTTCCCCACATGCCCAAGACATCTGTGAGTCCCTTTTGTTCAGTCAGTGTGTGTTCATGTACTAGGATACCTTTCATTAATTCCACACCTTTTACAGAATTGCCCTCCTTTCCATGGAGGCTTATGGGGGAAATGTGGGAGACAAACTTACTGTAGCTCTTTTACATTTTTTATTTTTCTCAGTAACTTGAAATTTAGATGTTTGTCTTCTAATTATAAGAAAAGGATAAATCATATTGCATGATTTTATTTGCTTATTTTGCTATTCTTTATTTTTTTAAAGAAATGTTGAGAAATGCTGATTTTCATGGCTGTCATTGCTTTGACAATGAAGAATTCCTATAATGTGTTCATAAGCAGAATTTTAGGTTTCAAATATTTGGGCACTGATAAAGTTAATTGGGAATCACTGTATATTACTGATAAGGTTAATTTTAGGGTCTGTTTATTTGCTTCCTTGAGCAGGAGCCTAACTTTGTGAAATCTCTAAAGAGACTACAGTTTAAAGGTATAACTCAGTATTATTTTTATGAGGTAGATTTTGGAATAACAGTTCATGGTCTAGCAAATCATCCTATAATTTAGAAGTTCTCTTCTTATTGCAAAGAATTTTTGTTTAGATTTTGTATAAACCATTGTTTTAGAGAGTTTTAAAATAATTACTTGTAAAGTCAATTGTGAAAGAAGAATAGTTACTTTTCCGGAAGACAGATGTCACAATACTGTACATGGTGAAAGGACCCTTCAATATATCTTTAAATTGGGCCATAAGGATTATTCTTATGTATTGATTAATACTGATATGTTATTTCAGTATCCTGGGTTTTCTATATAATATAGATTATGATAAGCTAGAAACAACCTTGGCAATCATAAAATCTAACTCTGTCATTAAAAAAAATGTGAAATCAATAAGTCTAAACAAATTCCCTAAAAATGATACGAGATATTGGGAAGAGAGCTAAATGTGAAGGCCTTCCTTTGAGGTTTTGATATCCAACAATCCACCTCAAAACATACTGATATAAAACAGTAATTGTTTACTTACCTCACAGTTCTGTGGGTGGGCAATTTGGGATCTGGTCACCATGGTGGGTTGCTGCTGGCTTTGCTCCACTCACAATCAGTGGGTGAACTGCTAGGAACTGAACTGTGTAAAATGATTCTATTTACATGTAAGAATACCAGGCTCTTAGCCAGAGCAACATGAGTAACCAGGGCTTGTGTCTTTTATCATCTATCAGACTAGGAAGGCCTTATTCATAGGCCCATGGTGGAGGGCTCCCCAGAATGGCAGGGTTGGAAGCTAAAAGCCTCTTACAGTTTGGGCTTGAACTTGCAAGACTTCAATTCCACTGCATCCTATTTGGCAAAGCAAATCACTAGCCAACCAGATTTGAAAATAGACTTTGCCACTTGATGGGAGGAACAGCAAAGCATTTGTGACCTGCCCCAGTGTTGCAACCCTAATCAGCTAGTTTTCATGCTATGGCTCTTTCAATAGAGATTCTGTAGATAAACAGGTGAAAATAGCTTGCCTCTCTCTATAACAGTAACTCATTTTTGTCCAAGAAGTTTAACAGTCTTTGTTTAAGAAAAAATATTTGAAATGGATCTTGAAGAATGAACTGGCCAGACAGGCAGAAGATTTAAAGATATGTGTGAAAACACAGAGTTTTAGAGAGAATGACAGGCCTTCGGGGTAGTAAGAGGTTCTGAATAACTTGTGGGGGAGTTGGATCATGGGGTGAAGGTAGGGAAACAGGGTGGTTAGGGAAATGAGGCTGCAAGGGTCCTCTAATAGCAGAAAGTTTTTCCATTCAAAATAGAGGCTTGGTTACTCAATTTCATCCAAGAACATGTTTTTAGTTTGCAAGAGATAGTAAGGTAGCATTTCCATTTGGGAAGGGTATATGTTTTCTTTCCAAAACAGGAAATCTGAACAAACCCAAGTTGCATGAATTGGAGGATACTGTTGTGTAGTAAGGACTATGGAGAGTCAGGGCACAGGAATTTCATTGTCATCATGAGGGCAGGAAAGCAGCATGAACTGGAAATTTTGGGAAAAGAGAGAGCCCAGTATTCTGCATAGGTCATGTCACCAAGGAGTCAGAGATATGACAGTCTGGGAGTTCAGGAAATATGGCATAAATCACTCACCAGACGGTACTATCGCAGTACTTCCTATTTCAGAAGGAGCACAGGAAGTGAAGCATCGTGAAAACTGCAGGTGGGAGAAAGCGATGTGATTGATGAGTGCAGACAGAGGAAATGGCAAAGGCAAAGTGACAATGAAATTCTTTATCACTTTGGCACATCAGCTACCATTGAAAATCAGAAGAAAATGATATTTGAGCTACATTTACAAATCTATGTAAAAAAATCAATGAGCTGAAATATGATCTTAGTGAAACTATTTTTTCTTCTTGTTTGTTGGAGATGATAGCTGTGCAGTAATTCATGCTTGTAATACCAGCACTAGGGGCAATGAAGCGGGAAGATTGTGAGTTTGAGGCCAGCCTGGAATACATAGCAAGCTTGAGAGTAGATAAATAGCATAAGCAATCTGGAATGTTACCCATGATAATGTTAGTTTGTACCTTTCTGTTTGAATAAATGGAAGCATTATCAGCTTGCATTTGTCTATATTCATCTACCACCATCTTCTCTTTCTCTAATTCAAAGTTTGTTTAATCTTGTATTCCATGAATTACAGTTTACACTATGTTCTGTGTTTTCCTTGAATACCCAACTAAAAAGTACTGTAGGGTTGGGGTGTAGCGCAGTGCTAGAGCACTTGCCTAGCTGGGTTCGATCCCCAGCACAGAAGAATTAAAATCAATTCAGCCACTGGTCTCCTTTGTTTCAGAGAATCTGATAACCGCCTTCACAGTCTCCATGGCAATCGGGCTGGTCATCGGCGGGCTCCTCTGGGCGCTGCTGGTGTGTCTGGCTCGAAGAAGAGCCAGTGCGCCCATCTCGCAGTGGAGCTCCAGCCGCCGGTCGCGGGCCGCCCACGGCCACGGGCTCAGGACTGGATTTTACCGCCAAAGCGGCTGTGAGCGGCGCAGCAACCTCAGCCTGGCCAGCCTCACCTTTCAACGCCAAGCTTCCATGGAACTGGCCAACTCCTTCCCAAGAAAGCCAAGTTTCAGGGGTTCCACTTTCCACCCGTTTCTGCAGTGTCCCCCGCTCCACGTGGAAACGGACAGTCAGCTGGTGACCCTGCCAGCGCCCAGCTCCTCCGCGCCCGCGGGCACTGCCCAAGGCCCGGCCTGGCCGGACCTCCCGTGGGCCAGCCTGGCCCAGCCAGCCCCGCCGGCCTACGAGTCCATCATCAAGGCCTTTCCAGACTCCTGAGCTCTGCTTTGGTGTTTTCTCTTTTTGTCTTTCAATGAAAGGAAATCATGAATAGACTAAGCAGCATTTAGAAGGCATGGCCCACATGACAATGAGTTTCTCAGTTGAATTCTCTCAAAAGCTGGGCTTTTACAATATAAGATGTATTTTCTTTAAACACGTTTCTCTCCATATGCCTCACAAAAAGGGAATTTTCTAAAATTGTTACATATTTATACATTTTGTGTTCAAGGTTAGGCTTATTAAAGATAGTGATTCTAATCTAGGAGTTAGCTATGATGCAGTGCATGTGTTTTAGATAAAAACTTGAGATATTTGTGCTTTACACCCTTCATTTTTCAATGTGACTGTAAAGAGAAAAAAGTCAAAATCTAAGGTATTGTAATTTTACTTTCTTCTGCATGAGAGTTGAATCATATGGCTTCATATGGCCACAAAATGCAAAAACACAGGAGTCCCTAAAGTTCCTCGAGTTCACTCATCTATGAGAAGTTATGAATCAAGGAAGCTGAACTCTGTTAATGTGGTAGGGTGCTTTGATAGGTTTTTTAGTTTGGTTTTTCAGATAGACTCCTTTTAGTTTTTTCCCCCAAAATAATTATGGACATCACTGAAGTAAAATCTGTGGGTTTTAACAGGAAGATTTAATTTTTCCTCATTATTGTAGTGATGTCATTACAAAAACAACATCACATCCACTTCATTTGACCTGAAAACAAAGTTTGGTTTAACATCAAGCTCATAGTTCTCTTAAGGGGCCAATTTGCTTTCTTAGATTTAGAGCTAGCAACAGGAAAAGTCCTGGATCTAGGGATCTTGTCATGTAACTTTCCAGACAAATAAAGATGGGTCACTGGAGAGAAAGCCTGTCATAGACATCCATGTTAAACGATGGGGAATCCTCCTGGACTACCAGGCTCCATCCCTTGCGTGCTCTCTCTGAATTTCAATCTCATCTTCTCTGAAGTCTGTCCAGTGATTAAATCATGTCATGTGGTCATTGTGCAGATAGGTATTTAAGGAGTTCACAGGTATGCACCAGATGTCAGTGGCTGCCCTTTGTATTTAAGGACAGGAGTTCACTGGAGTATTATTCAAAATTCCTGTGGTTCATTTCTTGATATACCAAATATTTAGTTTGTTTGTTTGTATACTTCTCAGAATGTTGGGATTTCCCAGTGAAAAAAACTTACTCTCATTTTAGGTTCTGTGGCTCAGTGATCCCAGCTAATGGTGTCTGAACAGTGCTCAAGAATATAAAATTTTTGATCAAGATGCAATATGTATATGTGCCAATTCTCTATGATGAATGTATTTATTATGTATTACAAACATATATTAATAAAACAAAAATTTTTACATAAGGTGATTCTATATAGCATTTTCATTATTAATGTCATATATCTTACACTATCCATTGTTCTTCAAGAGAAATTATTCTGTATTATACCCATTAAAAGTTCTCTAAGTACATGAGAAAGGAAGGAAAGAAAGAAGGAAGAAAGCAAAAAGAAAAGCTAACAAGACAATCAATCTGATGTAGGTTGGTTTTTAAATAAGGAAATATAGAAATTGTAACATAGCCAAGTAAGATTTCAGGAGAGCTTTAACTTAATAACAAGGCTATTTTTAACTTGCATGTCATTCTTAATGTTTAACAAGAAATAAGCAAATTATATTTTTTTCTAGAATTTGTAATGATGGGTAAAAACTGCTTCAAAATGAGGGAAATGAGAGCAGAAACTCTCTAGTGTGTTAAATTATCTGGCAAAATTGTTGCCTGCTGCCTAACACTAGTTGCAAAACAATCAAAATGAGTATCTTATAAATATTGTGCAGTTTATGAAATGTGAAATTAGAGCAAAAACTTTAGTTGTATTTGTTTTATTTGCAATGCTTTATTATTAAATTTAAATTAATGTCAATTTTGATTCCATTTATTAAGTAATAAAAACACCTCTAAAAAGCAAAAAGAAAAACTGTAAAACTAATATATGAGTAAAAAAACAATTCAGATGAAGAAACATTGTACTATGGAGTTTTGAACTTATTAAAATTCATTGGAAATAAAAGTCTGCTAAACCATTCTTTGTAAATGAGTGGACTGAAAAACAATCTTTTTATATAAAAATGTATAACAATATTTGTAACATCACAAATAAATTCAACAAAATTTTTCCATGAATTGATGCAAAGAGAAGAATAGTAAATTATTTGTTAAAAACATGAATTTAAATTTCAGAATTATTTAATATATGTTTAGCAAGTACATGAAATAGCAAAAAAACACTTTTTAAGAGCCAAAGGAATGGAATGAATTACAAAGAAAATTCTATAAAAAATCTGAAATCTGTTTATCAAAAGGCAAATTTATCAAAAGCTTAAAAACAAAGAAAAATACCAAAACCAAAAGAAAAATATCAAGAAAGAAAGATAGAATATAACTTAGTATGAATATGGACAAAAAATTAAGGTTATGATCCAAAACAGTTCTAAATAAAGAAGTAAAAAACTAAAACTGATAATTCACAAAAAATAATTAATTGATTAGCAAATTTTTGCTAAAACAGTCAATATTCCTACTGGGAAAGTGCCCATATATATTTAAACAATACTCCAGCATTTTCATAATCATATTAGCTAATAATCATATTAGCTAATCTTTTTTTGGTACCGGAGATCGAACTCGGGTCCCTGCACATGCGCAGCAGGTAGCTAATCATTTATAAGAGAACGAACTGCCTCTCTTTCAGCAAATGTGGCAAATGTACTAAGAAAGAAAGGCTCCCACATGTTCTGGGAGCAAGCTGGGACTGCCTTTTTGGGAGACAATTTGATATAATAACATCAAGAGCCTTACATTGCCAGACCCTTCGGGGTCTGATAGCTAAGGGTCAACCCAGGGGTCTCAACATGCCTGCCAGACACACTGTTTTCTTAGTGAAACAAGACAATAGATTCTTAGGGAGTCCAATCCTCCTGTACTCACCATGCATCTCACTCTACAACAGGTGGTAAACAACTGGCTTTATTGAATCTGTCCTGCTCTGGGGGTGAGAAGTTGAGATGAAAGGAGACAGAATTACCCCCCAAAGGGATCTCAGGGAGAAAAGACACTAGAAAAGCACAGTAAAAAGCCTGAAGCATCCTTTTAAACAAACTCTCACTGCTTAAGTTACTTACATATTTTTTATCACTTGACAATTTGAAAGAAATTTGCTCCCAAGCTACCTTAAGGGACAGATGATAAGAAAGGGATCATTGAGGCCTAGGCACTAGGCTCGTTCTGCTTGACCCAGGCAAGCAGGACCCTTATGTCTCACAGAGCCTCACACTGAAGCATTTTCTAAGAAATGTTCTAAATCTTAATCCCATGTGTAGAACTGGCCAGGCCTGGCAGTACTATTTGGACAGTAATTGAGCTTAGAAAAAGACCTGTGTGGATCCTGGTCATGTTTCTTCTGTCTCAGCTGTCCTTTGATTGGTTATCCAATAGACAGAGGTGACCAGATGCCTCAGCAATTCTATGACTTGCATCTATGGGTTCTCCATGGTAAAATCCCAGTTCTGAGAGGACAATCAGACCACTTCTGCAGAAAGGGATGTCTTTCCTTCATGGGATTACCCAATATTTTACCACCAGAATGGAGCTGACAGGCTGATTATGAGGTTTTTCATTTTAAATGAAGAAATTCAGGTGTACTCATAGGATAATAACACTTATGTGTTCCCTTTCTACATAAAACATCCATGGAAATATCACTAACTCTCATTTGTTCCCATGAATTTTATAAAACATTTTAACCAGCTTTTTCCATGCAGGATAGGGTCCTGCAAAAAATATTTATCCACTGACTCATACAACCTAGGATTGTCCTTGTGCTGAGAGAATGTGGGGAGATATAAGGTATTTCCCTGACCTGATCGGAAAAACAAGTGTTCTGTCAACACTTTATTGTTATAAATGCATGTCATCTCTTATCTTTGTGATTCATTCATAAATTGTGTTTACTGAAAAGCATTATATATTGTAGGTGTAGCTTTAAAGTGGTTTTCAGAGATGAGGTCATGCACCAAGTAGAGATTTGATTGAATCTTTCTTACGTACTGAGTAAAATAAAAAGCAGATGCAGAAGTGCTGTAACATACATGCTGGCTCTTGAAAGGTATGTCAGGGAAAGGAGAGAGTCTATTCCAAAGTGCCTGACCAGAAGGGCACAAGGCTGCATCAGTATCTGTCACTGGAGCCAGAAATTCTTGCTGCTCATAGCACAAGTTTTGGAACTACTATAAAGTAACCACATGAATTGATACAGCTAAGAGCTGGGTTCTCACAGTGCCAAGGATTCCATGATGGTTGAGGGTCTTCATTGAAAAATCAAACTTTGGTGATGGGGATTTAACTCAGTGGTTCCAGCGCCTGCCTTGCAAGTGCTAGGTCCTGAGCTCGATCTCCAGTACAAAAAAAAAAATCAAATTTTGTAGATAACCTTCTGTGTACCTAAGAGAAACAATGGGAGGACTGAAACTTAAATTGGATTATTGACCACGATGAGGTCAGAAGGAACTAGGGCTGGCCATTATTGAGGAACAGAAGGCAAATAGGCAGACAGTGGGCGTCTGAATGTGAAGATAATCAGGGCAGAAGGGAGTAACCTAAGATGTTTGTTCAAAAAGTAAGAGCAAATACAGAGACAATACTGATGAAATCCAGGGCAAAGAGGTAATGCTATCAGATAAATTGCTCATAAGATCACTGGTAAGAATCATTATGAGATAGACATTTGGAAGTTTACAAGTAAAAATAAGCATAAAAATTCTAAACAGGGGGAAAATTCTCTCACTTCCCTGTAAGTAAAGAAAAATAAAAATTCCTTCTAAGAATTCACAAAGAATAGCAAGAAGAGAAAGGATAGAAGGGAATGGGATTAATATGAGAAAATGGAAAAATAGGAACAAAATCTTTGTAAATAGGGAGGACTGGAGGGGTTGAAGGGAGGGCTGGGCAAGGGTGAAAAATAAGAACCAAGAGAGAATATGTAAAGGTGCAAATTTCCAATGATGAATGTCATTATATTGTATACCTAAAATGTACCAATGATTAGAATGAATAATTGATAATGCAAAATAGGAAGAAAAGGTCCAAAGGGGTAGGGGTAGTGGGAGGGGCAGGGGAAAGGAAAGAAGGGAAAGGAAAAATGCTGAGAAATGGAAAAAATGGAAATAAGTCTTTGTAAATAGGGAAGGGTGGAGGGCATGAAGGGAGGGCTAGGAATGGGGAAAAAATAAGAACCAAGATGCATTACGTAAAAGTACAATTCCCAATGAGAAATGTAATTGTGTTATATACCTACAATGTACCAATAAAACAATAAAAGAATTTAATACAAAAAAAAGAATAGCAAGAAGAAATAATAGAATTTTGATGATTGGTAAGAGACACCAAAAGCAACATGTACTTTCCAGCTCAGGGCCACAGCATGATATTGTGGAGAAAACTCACAAGTGCCTGAATATCTGAAGTTCCAGTCAGATGACCAATTCACATTTTCAAGCAAATAGGAACAAAATTTCTCAAATTAAGGAAAAAGACTCTGCAACAGTTGGAAACCACACACACACACACACACACACGCACACACGCAAGCTCTGCTGCATTTCCTGCTGCAAGCAATCATAAATCTTGCTAAAATGAAGTGGCTCAGAAAAGTTGAAAAAGGCTAGGCAAAGCTATACTAAAGTGCACCGAATATGACTATCTGAATGAAATATGTGAAATAAGAAAAGATTGTTACAATACTAAAGAATAAAACCCAATGAGCAAATAAATGATTATGAGTCTTAAGTGTAACCAAGCTCCAGAAATGCCTTTATTACACAAATTGCAGAGTGAAGGATGCAAACAAATATTTCAATATATTTGCCCTATTTATAGATAAGAAGTCTCAGGATTTAAGTTACTTTAATACTTAAAGTAACTGAAACATTCTGTTTTAAGAGCCAGAATACTGACATACAGGCTTTGTTTTGCTTTTGTATTTGCTTTTAGCTTAGACGAAGATAACAAATTACCTAGAAATAAAAACTTGAGAAACAGATTGTCAGAATTCTGAGAAAAAAAGAGTAACAAGAAGATCCTCAGTCTATTAGACTTCAAAATGTTCTCTCTCTTTTTTTTTTTTTTCTGGTACTGGGAATCTAACTCAGGACCTTGCACTTGCCAGGCAGTGCAAGCTGAGGTACATGTAGCCACTGAGCTACTTCTCCCACCCTTGAAAATGTTCTCAAAGCTAAAATGAAAATTAAAAATCATGCAGAAAAGAGAAAAGGGAAATAAATATGCAAATCAATGGAAAAGAATACACAGTACAGAAATAAAACCAAGCAGATGTGGGAAATCACTTATGATGAAAGTGTCATTTCTAATAAATAAGAAAAATTTAATTAATTTTTTTGGGAAAACAGGAGAGCTGCAGAGAAAAATCTCTTTTTCATTCATCTCAATAGAAGTTCAAATGAAGGAGACATTTAGATATTAAAATGAAGAGAATACAATAAAATATACAAACATTTAAAAATATTTACATGGAAAAAACTTGTCAAACTGACACTTTGGATGGTATGATTTCAGAATTTTTAAAAGGTTGGGTTAGTATTTAAAAAATGAGCAAACCTTAATTTTTTAAAACTTGCATATGAGGAGGTTAGTTTCTTAAAAATGGGCAAATGCTAAATTTTTTAAATTTGCATTTGAAGACATTACTGAAATTTATTTCAAATACAATAAATTGCATACATTTTACGTGTGTAGTTCAATCCACTTTGACCTATGTACACACCCATGTTGCCATCATTTTCATCAATGTATATAACACTTCCATCATCACAGAATATTTCCTTGTGTCCTTTCCCAGCCAATACCTACTCATCCCACCAATGTGAATCTGCTCTCTTCCATTGTAGATTGAGTTTCTTTGGATTTATTTATCTATACCTAGGGCAAACCTTCCAAATGCATTGAAATATTCATTTGCATCCTTCACTCTGCAATTTGTAATAAAGATATCTCTAGTGCTTGGTTACCA